GCTGCCAGGACCAGCTCCACCAGAGGAGGAGGAGCTGGTCCTGGCAGCTCCTGGAGTGAGACAGTCATGTTCCTCCTGAGTGTTCCTCCTGAGTCTGCTGTCCTGCATTAGGATGACTAATGCTGACCTGATACACTGACCTGGGGGTTTTAGTCGCTCCCTGCTCCTCCGTGGTGGCCTGTGGCGGCCATGAGTGCTGCTTCTGCACACGCCCAGCAGCGCCCGGGGCTGTTGCCGTGGAAACGGAGGAGGACGCTGGGGCGGCCTTCCCTCGTCCTCGTCCTCTCTCGTCCCACTCTGAGACAGAAAGAACACTTGTGGTACTGTGCCCGTGGTCAGCGTGAACAGAGGTGACAGTGATGATGCTACCTCCGTGCCCGTTGCTCAGCTTCCTGTCGCGGCTGCTGACGGTGCTCCAGCTGCCTTCGTCTCTGGGGGGTCGGAGGCTCCACAGAGGCACCGACTGCCTGCACACACAGCAGCCTGCTGTTACCGTGCTGTCTGGGGCTAACCCACCTGCATCACAGCTCAGGACAGCGGAGCTCCGAGGACGACACCTTAAAACACCTGAGCTCTAGTCGGAGGTCATGAACCTCCTCAGAGTCTCTGTCATGGCCCCACAATGCTCTCTGCTGCCACCATGAGCTGTAGTCTGAGTGACGCCTCCTCTGGTCTCTACAGGATGACACAGTGTGAGGCTCCACCTGGTGGAACAACCAGGTACTACAGCTGGTCTATGGCACATTTACTGACATCATGTAAAGTTCTGCGTGCTGAAAAACACATTCTGCTTTGTGTTCTTCCTGTCCTTCGATGGGACCGAGCTGCCTTGTTTTTGTTAAAGTTTGAAGCCCTTTGACAGGGTTCGTCACTCTGGACGACTTTTTAATTAACCTCGGACACATTCTGAGTAATTCTGGAGATGTTTTTGTCATTTTGGACCATTTTTGCTGTTTTGACAAATTGTACGTCATATTCAGCATTATTTCCTGACAGCGGACAGTGTTTGGGTTATTTTGGTGTCCTCGTGGAGCTCCACAACACGGTTCCACCTACAGAACATGAACGAACAGACTGGAGGCAGAAGCCCAGTTCTGGTCCTTATACAGTGCAGACACACTGGACTGGTTTCATAATGAAGTACTAGGAGTGTCTGTTATCAGCAGAGTGGATATGATCTGGTCCGGTCCGGTCCATCCTAAGAGGAGCAGTTGAACTGTGCAGGGAGTGGAACTCACCTCCGGCCCAGTTCTTCGATGTACACAGTCACTGGTCCGTTACGGGGAGGCACCTCCCTGATGGTGGCGCTGTAGCTCCGCCCGCCGCCGTCCAGACGAACCTACAGGTGACAAGCACACGGTCAGACTGCAGGTGAGGAAGCTGAAGGTGAAGCAGCGGGCCACTCACCCGGCAGCGGTCTCCGACGGTGAAGTGCATCCCAGCAGCGATGCAGTAGTCCATCTTCTGCTGGGCTGAGAGAGAAACAGTTTAAACAAGCGCTGCTCAGGTGGTGTCAATCCATTCTGCACCACTGTGGACAGTCCACTCTCTGAGCCACCACGTTTTCTCGACCAGCCTGGAGGAAGGACTGTGGTGAGCAGCAACAGGCTCAAAGTCAAGTCCAGTTGACTGAGATGAGCCATAACCCTAATCGTAACCGTAACCCT